CCCATGTCTACGAGGGAATTTTGACTCCTGAAATCTGAATTTCACTTGGAGCATGTGAGACCTGGTGCCAAGGAGCTGCCCTTTGTAGGCCCTGCAAAGAGCCTGGCTTCCAGGCTATGATGGTAGCAGGGCTTCTCTAGCAAACGTCGCTCCGGTAAGTTTCCTTAGGGTGATATGAGGTCATCCAACTCATCCGACAAGCAGCCTTCAGAGAGCGGAAATTTGTCTTTTTCCGCCTAAGAGCTGAACTCATGGAATGTATGCTGGCGCCACCTTTTCTTCCATTCCGTCATCTTGGTCAGGGGTCCACACCCGGCCTCGTATATCCTTAACCCTGGCCGAGTTAGTTCTACATCGCACAACCTCGGCCAACTAAAACACCAGACTGAGCTGAATGAAACCATTCTGTTTTCCTCGGGCTCAGCAGCAAGGCTCCTGTTTCACGTATTATAAACGGCCATCGCTGAACGATCAAAACTGGACTTGTGTAACCCTTGATTTCATAACTTAAATATGATGCACGTTCTTGAATCAAAAAAGAAAGACAAATATATTTCTAATAATACCTACAGTTTTTTTTTATCACATTCTATTATGTTACTTTTTCTACAAGTCATGTTTACATGTATTTGTTGTTTTTTACTATTTTTTTTTAAATTTTTATTTTTTAAATTTTTTTTTTCAAAATTTTATTCATAAAAAGCAACATTACATCACATACATGTATACATAAATACAAAGTTTACAAGTTACAAAGAACATGTTTGTACATTCTGTTGTTTACTGCTTTGAAGTATACAATGATTTCTGATTTGAAAATACAGTATAGATCTATTGATGTGTATTTGTCATTGTTTCTGTTATTACACCAGTTGTTAAATATGACATTCTTTGCAATACCTATTAATAAGTTGATTATTTCGTATATTCCAGATGAGTTCAAATAATTTGTTTTGTATCCCAGTACAATTTCTCTCAGATGTATTTGTTGTTTATGCGACTATTAGTCTTCTAATTGCAGTACATTGTGTAGCTATGAATTTGGAAAGAGTCCAAAATTCAAATGCAGGCTTAGAACTTTGTAGATAGTTGGTTCTGTCACAGCATGCTTGAAAATACTACGACACGAAAAAATCACGACGACAAACGTCGATTGTGACCGCGCCGTAAGCGCCATAATCCCCGCCTGGTCTCTCGTTTCTCGGGAAATATTCGGTATTTGTTGATGCAGTAAGCGGGTGAGATAAGAACATGGTGTCCTTGGACTCCTGGGTGCTGATGTAGCCGGCGGGGCTTGGCGATGCACCCCGGGCACGGCCGGACACCACTCAACACCGCCCGGCCACGCCAGCCCACGGACACGGCAGCCCGACGTGTCTTTAACATGTCAGGGTGAAAATGTGAACGGCCCTCAAGACGAGCACAAGATGCCATTAAGATAAAGTTAATCCTTCTACTTTCTGATCTCCTTTTGACAGTCGGAAAGACCCACGGGCCGCCACATTTATAATACCTGTCCCCACCAGGATGGTGTCCGCTACCCAAAATACTCGTCCCTCCCTGGGCTCACTTCTTCAGCAAACCATTCACGCCGTGTCTACATTTTTTTTCTATATTGTAGCAACCAGGCCTGGTAGCAACTGAAGTAGCGGTTACAAAATCTGTCCTCGCGCTTCCTGCCGACCCACCCGCCCCAGATTAACCGAGGGAAGGCAATCTTGGAAAGTAAGCACAGCGACTTGAGTAGGCGGATGCCTTTCCTTAAGGCTGTTTACCTTAAGAGAAATTGGCTGCATTAAGATGGAGTCAAAACGTGGCTTCCCAGACTTTTCTTAGAAATGGGACTTAATGCGGAGGTAACCGATGGATACTGGAGAGCGCTCTTTTTATAGACATGTACGTCTAAACGTTTCTATGCTCTATTTCCACCAGACGGCGACCGCTGAGCAACCAAACCGTGATTGATACATTTTATAACGGGAGTGTGGTGTACGGTGTAAGAGTCTCATCTAAAAGGCACTGAAACAGACAATACGTTAAATATTATTTTTTTTCATCTATCTATGACATACGTTGAGTGATCTGCAGTTTTTGGTCGCCTCGTTCTCCAGTGGAAGGGATGTCATCTGCATAGTTATCCACGCTGTTTCGGACCTCCATCTGATGTACCTGATCGCCTAACTGTGAAACACTCTGGAATATCTGGTAATGATTAGTAGCTCGACCTGCGAGAAATACCAATAATCCCTACTTGCAGTTCCATTCCTGACTTCCCCGGTACTGCGTGTAAATGCGCACTAGAAACCTAACAAAGCCAAGAGCATGCAATGCCATTTAAGATGTATGGGGAAATATGGAACGGTGACTTGTGACCAGCCATATCTATAGAATGTGCTTCAAGGTCAATGTCACTATAGCTTGGAACTCGTGACCTGCACACGTGTGACACACAAACGCGCAAACCACCTCCACATGGTAGACAAATGCACAAGACCCCCCAGCCCCCCCCCCCCGGGTTCTCATGCATGCTTGACCCTATGGCAATGGCAGTTCTTGTCCAAGGTTGTACATGTAGTCGGTGTAGGAAGGAATTCCTGCAGACAACGCCGCTTATTTCCCGTCCTTCAACTTCCCGCCTGCGGTCATCGGTTTCCGTTCGAGACGTCATCAGCCTCACACGGGAAAAATAAACTTTCTTCAGGCGACACAGGATCGCTTTTTATCACTTATAAGCAGAACGAGAGCTGGTGGGACATGTACCTGCTAGGGTCGGTGTCAAAACATGCGACATCTAACACACCGATACGGAACTGCATATACTGCAAGCAGAAACGCCGTTGGCTGTAATACTGACTGAAGACTGCAGCGATTATCAGAGGAAATTAACCTGAGGCTGAGACCACTAAGCGAGTGACAGAGTGCTCAAAGATCATAGAAAGATTTGAAACGTACATTTGTCTTCTGAATCATACTTTTAAATCTTGAATCATATTTCAATGGGGGAAAATTAAGTACAACAACTCCAATTACGGTCGCTCGGTGATCGCCGACCCTTGGAAAGGGGCCCAAAGGACATCACAAGGATCGCAAAGCAACGCGCATTGATAGGTCAATCTTCCGAAAAAATCGTGACGTACATCGTGACGTAATCCCCTGCTGCTAGACATGAGTCCTGACGTGAGTGTTTGGGTGATGACTGGCGCGTGAACTGCGCCATTTTTATCTCCCCCTGACCTCTCAGCCTTGTTTTGACGACTTGTACTTTCTTAACCTTCAAGGTCACCTTCACGTTCCGATGTTGGGGTTTGAGAATCCTGTTCACCTTGGCCTGACCTTCAAATTCAAGTCAAAACTGCTATTACGAGCAGCCCTGCAGGCACCGGAAGGAGATAGTGCCCATTTTCTCATTATATTAGATAGTTGTGATTTCTCCATTTTTCGTAAAAAAATTCGCTTACTGTATATTTAATAACCATTATGGTCTTTTGCCTTGTCGTGTCTTTTGCGTTGTCGTCTTTGCACCTCGTCCACGAGAACAGGAATGTACGACAATGAATCGTCTATTTATTTTTAAATATTGCTCAACATGGTAAGCAAACATTTGGCACTGTATACACATTGTCCAATGCGGCCTGCTAGGTCATTTTCTAACATGAGACCAAACGGGGACGCCTTAGATTCGAGGTTATTAGATATGAAAAGATCAACACGTCCATGACGTCACACCGTGTGGCATCTGAACACGACCCATTTGCGGGTTTGACGCACGCACCTTAGGAAATAAGGCTATCGGTCCGAGCGGTGACGCAGGCAGACCGCGCCGAGTGGATTTCAAATCCGGGAGCGTTAATTGCTCTAAGCGACGGCTTACGTCAAATAAAGCCAGCAAGCGCTAAATGTATCTCAAATTGTCCCTAAGGGTTGTAAATATCCCTCTATGGGTTTATGAATGGGTGCTTTTTATAGAATTTTGGTTTCTCGTATCCGCTCTTTATCTGAAGTTCCTCGTGCGTCTACATCCGACAATCTGCTGAACTGTTACATGCCGCACATTTTCTAAAAGGACTCTTGCTGTTGTTCATCTTTACACATTAAGCTCAGGCCTATTTGGCTAAAATGACTACTCATATGTACATCCCAGATTGAATAGATAAACAAAAGTAGCATATTTTACACCATCTCTCACTGTCAGGGTCTAATTTGATCCATTCACCTACGTATGTAGGGCCTTACCAGCGGAAAGCTTGATAGTCTGGCTAATCTGAACGCAGATATGCCTCTGCGTTTTGTCGCCATCGATGCAATTATTGAGAATATCGCAAGATGAGGCTGTTGCATGGGAAGGACACGGACTCGATAAGTGGACATCATGATTCCTGGAGAGAAATCGTCCGTTACAGACAAAAACATCTGCAGCAAAACATGAGACATGTTGTCCGTGGAATTGCATGCTATCTATTTAATCAGATGCTTGTATCATAGTTCTTACCAGGTAGTACTCCAGTTCATTCAGTTCGTTGCCGTATGGAGCGCCACCGGGCCCTCTCGGGCTGCTGTACGGGGCACCTTCCTCCTGTCCGCCGCGTAGAGCCTCCTCCCGGGCCTGGTAAAGCCGGCTGAAGTCAGCCGTGTCCGGCATGTCCTCGATACAGCCGTCCTCAGCTGTAATGTGGGGTGAAAATGGTAGTCAAGATCAGAAACACGTGCAATACAAGCTGTATGGTCAGGACAGGCACGGTCATATTCGTCGTATAATCTCTAACTGAGAGCATTCCCCGGTAGCCATGCACATGTATTTCTGCAGTCCTGTGGCGGTAAAGGCTGCCCTAGACCCTTATTGGTGGCCAGCGCTGGTTTTGACATAGCCCGCTAACAAGTAACCATAAATGTCACGTGTTTGTTTTATGCACTAACTAATACTTAAAATGCAGAAATTGGTTGACAAAGGTTCTCAAGAGGTGTCCACAGTCACAGACATACATACAGCGCCACCTATAATAAAACAGTGCGTATGGTACTGCATCTCCCTGACAAAGATGCCGCTACTGTGGTGTTCTACTACTGACAGCGGCGGGGCAGTGCGCTGTGTACACAATCGCATCCATTAGGTGAGTAGGAAAGTTTTAGCAGTATGATTTATAAATGTACTTTAGATGACTTTAAAAGTAAGGACGGGCCCGGGTCTATCGTTCCACCAGTGTACTCTGTAGTCACATGGCGTCCCGATAAACCCTGTTCTTCATGCTCAGAGATTACCAGCCTCTTATGTAGTGACCCGTAGCGATACTAGCCGCCTTCTTTACAAGTCTAAATCTGGCATTGACGTCAACGCAGCACCAGGGGGAGAGAAAAACAGCCGGGAGAGCTTTATAAACATGCGATACATTGATCAGATTTCCGCAATCAACAATTCCTCCTCCAGCGATATGATGCTAAATGTAAATCCAACGAAATCGTACGCCGCATCAAGAGTGGCGGGGTCTTGGATCCTAACTCTTCCTTCCTGTCCAATCTGCCTCGGCGTTAATTCATTCAAACTTCTAACCGGCTTTCAAATGTAATCCAGACGTCGCCGAGAGTTCTAACTACACGCGCGTGCCCAGAATAAGAGGACTGCCATCTCCCTCTCACTCTGTAATTGGACTAACGCTACATCCGGCAAGCGCGGCAAAACGCGTCAAGTGTGACGCACTCGTTTTCAATTCTTTGGGTAGGAGAAAAAATGGTATGAAAGTATGATTTGCCACAAAAACACACTGAAACTTGCAAAATACATGTCTTTCTTTATCAATGAAATTCGTTTAAACTAATGAGAGTTTTGGTAGCGGAAGCTTGTGGCCATGTGGAGCTAGAATGTTGTTATCAGCGCGATGAGATAATTTTGACCAATGATGACTGATACAGATACAGGTAAAGGCGCTGATCATCAGGAGCAAAGGTGACCTTAGATGTCTTGAATTTCAGTCTGAGCAAGTAACATAATGATGTAGCTACCTTCAGGTGATATTGACAGGGAACCTGTAAGGGCAATATTTGATTATCGCCGACAGAAAAGCTGTTTACGTTGTTATAACGTTATAGAACTCAAATAGTTGCGATTGGCATGCCACACGCACGCACGCGGAGATGCTTTTATGCTTAATAGCCGTAAGAACCGGCCAGATCTACTGCCGAATGTTCCGTTTTGTCATCTTGGTATCCAGCTCACGTTCCGAAAGCTGGTACTCCGAAACATCAATGCCAAGGCTGCCGATGGCGCCTTTTATACGAGAGGGGTCGGATAAGCCTTAATAGTCACCCCAGATGTATTGGACCAGACATGTACATAGAACTCAAGCAAAATTCATGAGCCATCCTCTACTAGAACACGACGCACTGTCACAGCTTCTCATGTTGACCGCGGACTGACACGACAGCCGCATTGTGAAGTAAACAAAAGCTTTATGGAACACACCCAGGGTGAACCCTGTACATGGCAGGTAAGCTGAAGTATCGACTTCGCCACATGGATTCTGAGTAGTGGAGCGGATGGTAATGTCGTTTGAACGCCCACACGGTCCAGGGACACGCCTGGGAGGCTGTGTGGGCGATACCTGGAATCTTCCGATATCTGCCACGTCTCATGATCCCCACGTACTGCTGTCTTTCATGCAGGTGTCTTGTTTGTGTAGAAAAAATGGTTCGCCGTGTTTTGTGAGCTTGAGTAATATGTACGGTAAAAACTCGCTTGTGTGATGTTTATCATTTTTTATCATTTTTTTTGTTTTAATGTTTACGTACACATATGGAGAAATCAAGAGGTTTTTTGGTTAGCATGTAAATAAAAAAAAAACGTTAAGAAAAATAACATTGAAAGTTAACCAGCGCTGGTGTACAGAATCTTCATTGTAAAGGGGTAACATCGTAACTGTGAGTTACACTACTGCAATGCCAAACAGCAAAACCGCTAGGGCCGAAAATCTCATCATTTCTTCAGTAGCCCAAGAACCAATAACATACAAATAGCATAGCAATCATTCTATGGCTTCTTGAGCTATGCTGTTCAACCACAGATTCACAAAGGCAATCACAGACAACGTTCGGTGTACATGTATTATAACCAGCTGCCGCCGCGCCATGTGCCTGCGATGAATTGAAGGGCGGCTACACTGCCTATACAAATACGGAGACAGGTACAAAGCCGCAGTAACGTTACCGAAAGCATCGAGCGAAAGCGAAATATTTGTAAGCCATACCGGTGTATCCCTTTGGACAGGGGTTGGGAGGGTTGGGGTAGGCGTCCGGCTTGCGGTTGTTGTCGGACTCCACCATGGCGGCCCACAGGTTGGGGATGTTCCCGGCCGGGCCTAGGTGCTGCACTCCCTCTGATGCTCCTCCTGGAGGGGGGGGGAACAAAAATGCAGCGACTTTCGTAAGGTTATCTACAAATATAACTAGAAGCAGACAAGTGGATACAAGTGAGCTTGCATGTAAACAGGCGGATGTATATGTCACACTCCAAATAGAAAATTCAGGATCGCACTAATCCCATTTTGTGGCCTCAGTGGTTGTTCAGCAATCGCTGGCAACTGGAAAGGGAGCATTTACGTTTTATCGAAATACAACATTCAAAAACCTATTGACACGCCGGGCGCAATGAAGAATGCGCCATCATAACATGGGTTTCTGTATCTCACAGCCATTTTTGTGAACTGCACGGGCACTTCGTTATAACCTCTATATTTCATTTTTTTATCATTATTCCAACATTTAATCACAAGGCGTGGTGACAACACAGTCGGACATACTGAAGTTTTTTTTCAATTTATTTTCATACGACCTCCAACATAGCAGAGGATAACACAATAGTCATTTTCAATTCAATGCTTAATGAACGGTACGGTTACACATGTCACTGAAACAAAGCACATTTGTCCTCAACATCATCGCATCTGCAATGATAATGACATGATAAGCTACATTTACCATCTATTTTGCTGACTCTTACTTAAGTATTTCACTTCAAAAGTCGCCCGTGTATTTGTGCTGTAATTATCCTGACTACACAACAGGAGAGGGAACACCATAGGTAACCCGTACAGCTACAGCTGCACGTCTTCACATCCGATCACATGACAGCGACATATACATGACGTATGAAAATGTGCCTCTATACTGTTACGTCACTATTCTGTGGGTACGCAAATAAGTTTAGCCCCCTTGCAGCTTCCTTAGTATTCTTTCTATCAGTCAAAACCTTACACATGAATTTTGAATTGTTTTTGTATAAGGCGGTGGATCCCAGTTTACATTTTATCCAATTGTCACCCCTCCCCCGACATACGAACCGTCCTATAAGCTTAATAACTAACGCCCAAGAATAAACCCTTTGCAGAATATCGTGCCCTTTTTATTAAGACTGATGAAAACTACACTGGAGTACTAGTATGCAGTGACACCATGTATCTCATAAGAACCATCTTTACGATTTCCACAGACGCTTGAAATAATGTAAAAAAAATGGACATAAAATATGTCA